ACATTTTGGATCATCTTCAAAGTAATATATTTAATATTGATGTAATTAAGGTAAAAATTAAATTATAAGAAAAAAAATCTAACTTTAAAAAGGTTTAAATTATAAATAAGATATGCACAATTTATTCAAATTAATTAGATTTAAATTTAAAAGATAGAAGTTAAACATTATTTTTTTTAAAAAAAATAGATAAAATTTATCCACTTAAAAAATGTAAGAATTTAAGAGGTGTTTGAAAAAGCTTGTATAAAGTTTAAGGTTTAGATAAATGTAAGAATTTGTACACTTTATTACTCATTTTATCCAAATACATCTCTATTGTTGAAAATATTTTTCAATTTCCAGGTAATCTTATGTATAAAAAAATGTTTTTTTTTTTTTTGCGTGTGTAGATAAATGAGAAATAAACAAATGAATCAGAAATTGATAGGGAATTAATTATGTATCTTCAAAATTTTCTATATAAACTTCGTTTATAAAAAACAAGATATATTTTTTTCTTAAATATGTTTTTAGATCGGACACTGACTAATTTCAAGAAATAGAATTAATGAAATAATTTTACAATTATAGTTTAATTTTACTAATTTCATTAAAAATTATTTTCTCTTAAATTTCTGATCATTAAAATTTAATTTTAGGAATAATTAATTTATTAAAATATAATTTCAATTAAATAAAGAATACTTTTTAGATGATATAATATTAAATAAGGTAAAGTTACTTAAAAAAAATAATTATACTGTAGTTCATCGATCATGGATTTTTTCTGTTTATATTTCAACATGAAAAGAAGATTAATTGATTGAATAAAGCATGCAATGCACTTATAAGTACTCTTGATTTGATGACAGTTTAAGACAAATATTTCTTTCTTTATTTACTACATATTCTTATGTTGTTTTAGTTGCTAATGGGTGGAATCTAGACACTCCCAAACCTTAAAATAAGAATAAAGTTTCAATTATTTCTTACACAAAGTAAAAGGTTTCCATAATTCACGTTAAGAATCCAATTCACGCAGTTCCATAAATCATTACAACCCCACTTTTCCTTTTTCATTTTCTCTTTCTCTTCCATTTCTCATCTCTGTCTTATCTAATTCTCTAATGGCAAATGTAAGTAAGAGGCTACCACAAACCCACCTTCTAATTCTGTTTTCAGCAATTGAGAGTTTCTTCTTCTTCTTCTTCTTATTCTTCCATGTTATCAGGTTGTGGAAGTCAAAGTCGGTTTGCACTGTGACGATTGTATCAAGAAAATCCTCAAGGCCATCAAGAAAATTGAAGGTTCTTAATTTTCCCTACACCAATGAATTATGAGTATCGATAATCAGGTTGTGGAAGTCAAAGTCGGTTTGCACTGTGACGATTGTATCAAGAAAATCCTCAAGGCCATCAAGAAAATTGAAGGTTCTTAATTTTCCCTACACCAATAAATTATGAGTATCGATACATTACAATAAATCATGCAACATTATTTTCTATATATCATGTTATCTTTTTCTTAATTTCTTGTACCTATTGTAAAATTTCCCATCAAATAATTACTTTGTGTTTCTTGGTTTCTTTCCTTGATTACTGATCAGTTTAAAATTTGTGGCCTAGCAGATATTGAAACCTATAACGTGGACACACAACTGAACAAGGTCATTGTTACTGGCAACGTAACAACAGAACAAGTGATCAGAGTTCTTCAAAAGATTGGCAAGAATGCAACTTCTTGGGAAGATGCTCAAACCTATAAGTGAAAAGTTTAGGGTAGCACACTTTTTCTCCCTCAAAACATTATTCTCTTTACACACTATGTACTATGAAATTCAATAATCTATTGTCAATAGTTTAATTATATCTTCCTTAGTTTTGTAATATATTTCTTTATTATGTAAGGCTATTTGTTATATATTTATAAATTGATTTTGAATTTAGTGATTTTTTTAGAAATAAGAAACAGATAGTAGTTTATGTTTATTTATAACTATATATTTTTTAAAATGATGTACACTGTACTTTTTATGAGGATAATTTTTATCATACATAACTTCGTATATATAATCTTAACTTCCGATTACTGAACTGATTTTAATGATCCATTGCTTTTTAATTGTATTTTTTAATTTTTTTTAAGTTTTTAATTATTTTGAAAAGTCGTAATAAATACACTTTTTTAAAAAACTATTCTTTCTTAAAAAAAAAAGTAACTTTTTATGGAAAAAAATTGCCCTTTCAAGAGATGGGGGAACCATTGGATGTGATCAAAATTCCACTTAATGCTATGTTGGGTTTATGCAACGAAAACGAAAATGGATTTTTATCTAGAAATATTGGATTTGAGAGGGTGGATTCTCATCCATGACTATGAGTGGTGGCGTGCTTTTGCTTCTTATATATAAGCAATGTACATTGACAAATAATATTAACCAATAACCACGATATGATGCATATGGATATGGCAATAGCTTTTCAATTTACACACTTCGGTGGATCTGCTAAAAGGTCTATCATTTGTGTTCCTCCAAACGGACCTTGTATAAATATAGATATATATGTATTCCCGTACTTTGCAAGAGTGGTATAACCACCTTGCTTGAAGGCAAACCGTTAAATATATCAAATGCAAAATACAAGGCCAACCTCTTATATCTCGTGCATGCTTCATGGCTTTGCATTGCAGCACTGTTATCCTCGAGGAAAATAGCTTTTAACAATAAACACAAGAAAAAAAGCTAAGTTTTTTTTTTTGTTTACCCCTTGATATTTTCATTCACATATATGGCAGCTATTGCAGCTGGAACAGGAAATAAGACATTGGTATGCCAAGATCCCCACAGTTATGGTCACTCGGATATCTGGCACTCAGGCAACCCTTTCCAGTCCCCCTCTAGTCTTCTCTTTATGCAGGTTTCTTTGATTACCTTAGTCACACAGTTCATAGACAAAGGTCTCAAGCCACTAGGACAATCCTCTCTTGTATCCCAGATTCTTGTAAGCTTTCTCTAACCTCATCAATTTTACATTATTCAAGGTTCGAATCTTCGCTGACAGAAGTGCTCACGTCTAGTGTGTGATAATGTCTCAATCAGGATTGTTTCCAAAAGAGGATACCTGTATGGTTAAAGAAAAAAAATTTGTTTAGAATTCTCTATGGCAATGCAATTCTAAATATAAGACTGACAAGACAAAAGATTACAAGAGAAACTTTGAGGGAAATTATAACAATTTTGCTGGTCCAAATTAACAACAATATTAAACACAAAAACATTGTTTTGCCATTACGAACTTGTTTAGATAAAAACTTAAAAGTATTTTTAAAATCTTTATATTAATTTAAATAAAGAATTTTTTTTGACAAGTTTAAAAAACACTTTTAATTTGTATCTAAATAGACTCGACAACTAAGTAAGGAACTTTCTTTTAAGTACTACCACCCATAATGGAAAAATGTGATTTGTATATGAATTGAATAGAAAGCTCATTGCTTGCTTCAGCAACTAGTGTTAACAAATGATGCATGGTAACAGGGTGGAGTGGTGTTTGGACCATCAGTTTTGGGGCACAAAAAGATTCTAGGTCAACTCTTATTCCCCATAAAGGGTGCTCTAGTGCTTGAAACAGTTGCATCGTTTGGCCTCATGTTCTTCTTCTTCATATGGTGCGTTAAAATGGATGTTGCCACAATGTTGAAGACGGAAAAGCTGGCCATCACTCTTGGTATTTCTATATTCTCACTCACATTGATAATCCCTACTGCACTGGCCTTTCTGTTGAAGAAATATGTTCCAATGGACAAGAGTCTCGCTAACGCACTGCCCTTTCTAGCTGTCTCACAAACCTTAACTGCGTTCATTAGCATAGCAGTGCTCTTGACAGATCTCAAAGTCCTTAACACCGACTTAGGACGTTTAACCATGTCAGCAGCGATGTTTGCTGATGTTGCGGGTTTTACTTTGACAGTGGTTTTGTTTGCAATAATGCAGAACAAGAGTCATAACCTTTTTAATCTAGTAATCATCCTTGTAGCCACAGTTTTATTCATGCTTGTTATTATATATGTGTTGCGGCCAGCAATACTTTGGATGGTAAAGCATGCAGGAAATGGTTCAGTTAATGAAATTTGCATTGTTTGCATCTTTCTCTTTGTTCTCTTGTCTGGACTTCTCAGTGAGTTTATTGGGCAGCATTTTATTATGGGACCGATAATTTTAGGCCTGGCTGTTCCAGAAGGGCCGCCCTTAGGAACAGCTTTGATGACCAAATTGGACACAATCTGTTTGACATTTCTTTATCCCATCTACCTTGCTGTTAATGGGTTGCAAACTGATATCTTCAAAATCGATATGCAGTCTCTCTGGATTTTGTGTCTTGTACTGGTTGCGGCTTTCTTTGTAAAGATTGGTGCTGTCATGTTGCCAGGATACTTTTACAATCTACCCATGAAAGAG